TGGGAGCTACATTTGGGCTTCCCCGCCGCTGGTGGAGGTGCTTTTGAAGGTGGACGTCTGGAGGGTGGAGCTGGACTACTGCATGTTTGGCGAGGTCTGGAAGAAGCCCACCGCGTTTGTCACGAGCGTGAAGGAGATGACGAAGCTGGCGAGGAGGTGTACAGGTACCTTTCGCTGCTGCAGCCGCACGCTGAGGCCTCACCAGGAGCTGAGGGGCAAGTCACCATGTGGGCTCAGGTGGACACAGCTGGCATGCGCGTACCCACTCGAGCTCTGCAGGTGCTATGCCGAGATCATGAAGGAGCTCGAGCCCGCGTGGGGAACGATACCAGCGGGGGCCCGGCTGAGGCTGCGAGGAGGCCGGACACAGATCGCCAAGGCGACGGGGACGACCATGCCTCTCAGGCCCGCGTGGCTGAAGCACCACTGGCACGTCCTCTTCTGCGGGAAGTGGGTGCACCAGGAGCACAACAACATCCTGGAGCTGCGGACGGTGGTGGCCACACTGAGGCATCTGAGCAGGACATCGCAGGCATGGGGGCACAGGATCCTGATCTTCACGGACTCGCTGGCGTCGCTGGGGGCGCTGCAGAAGGGGCGCTCTTCGGCGAAGGACGTCCTGCACCTGTGCCGCATCGCGGGGATCATCCAGGTGGTGTGCAGGATCAGAGGCTACTACCGCTGGGTGCCGTCGAAGCTGAACCTGGCGGACGGGCCCTCGAGGGGGCTGCCCATCGGCGCGGCGGAGGAGACGGTCAAGTTGCACGTTGCTCGGGGGGTGCCTCAGCGGCTGCAGCGGCTTTTGCATCAGCATCGAGGCCATCAAGGCCCAGCCGCTGGGTCAGTGCACTTGTAGTCTTTGCGACGCTGGTGACGCGAGGAGGTGCCGTGGGCTACCAGGACAGTCCGAGTCCGAGGTCTGCCAGGCCGCGAGGAGCGAGCGCGCAGCCGCCCCTGGCCAAGAAGGGGGCGCGGGCGTGGGAGGAGGCGCAGCATGACAAGCTGCGCTATACGAACCGCCTGGTCATTCACGCCGTGGATGACGCGACAAACCTGGTCTACCAGAAGGCTGTGCGCGAGTTCCTGGTGGACGTCAAGAGGAACCAGCTGGACTTCACCACCTACGAGGCCAGGGACCAGGCGCTGGCAGACTACATGTCGGACATGTGCTACGTGCGCCGGCTCGGGTTCGGGCGGGGCAATAGCCTGTTCAACGGGTTCATGCACGTCTTCCAGGACCACCGGGACCGGTTGCCCACAGCGGCGAGAGCTTTGAAGGCGTGGGCACGGCTCGGCGAATTGGGGGAAGGCGCTCCTGTTCCCATGGAGGCGGTCGGGCTGGTCATCAGCAGAATGTTCCGCACGGGGAGGCTCATCGAGGGCTCGGCGGTGCTCACGCAACTGGACGGCTGGCTCAGGGAGCAGGACTGGGGCCAGCTCAGGGCCGAGGATGTCTCCGAGGGGCCAGGAGGGCAGCTGGCCTTCACCCTCGGCAGGCGTGAAAGAGGCGAGAAGGTCAAGACGAGCGCCAACCAGGGCGTGGTGCTCTCGTGGCCGGTGACCGCGGCCGTGGTGCGGGCCCTGCTGCGGAGCTGCGCCCGCAAGGACCTCGTCTTCCCCGTCTCGCAGGACAGGTTCAGGCGCGGGTGGCACAAGGCGCTCAAGGACGAGGGCCTCGCCGGCATGGGGCCCCCCATGCCATTCGGCACTCAGGGGCGGCCACATTCGTGGCTGGCGGCGGCTGCTTGGAGGCGGCTAGGCGCGAGGGCAGGTGGCAGACAACGTCGGCCTTGGCACGCTACACGAAGACGCATGTGCTCGTCAGCCAGCTCGCGAAGATGTCAGAGGAGCAGGTGAAGGCGGGCACCAGCTTTTGGGCGAGGCCGGCCGAGGCGCTGATGACGTTCATCGTGGAGTCCCCCGCCGCTCAGACTCCCCTGGCGAAGCAGTTGCTGGAGGAGCTGGCGGGGGTGCAGGGGGCGCAGGTTGAGATCCCCTTCTTCGACGGCGGGCGGGTGCTGACGACGGGGCGCCCGAGCACAGCATCCCGAGCCCGTCATAGCCGCGAGACGAGAGTGGCTCGCGGCTCGTGATAAGTATGATTATCTTTTGATATAGCCGGAGTGTGCCTGGAGGCGCGTTGATGCGCCCCCTGTCCTCACCTGTATTCCTGAACAGAACATAGAGCAAGAATTGGACCGGGGGTCTTACATAAAACAGGGGGGCTGGAGCACAACATAGATAAGAACCCTTCCCTCCCTCCCTTATCTGCTGAAGGCTGGTGTTTCGGCATGTATGCCAGTCTCGATTTGATGGGGTTGGGACTGATGCGCTTCCGAGTTTTATCGCGGGCCCTGATAGGCCTGAGGCCAGGTCATGCACCGCTCTGGACTTGGGCCCAAGGTGGCTCGGGCTCGCCTCTTGAACACCTTTCGGGGGGACCTCCAACTCTAGGCTCGCTGGCGGCACTTGCTTCGGTGCCTTATGTTGCTGTGTCGGGTATTCGTGCTTCTGCATGGCAGGTCGTTGGTGTTCAGTAGGGTTGTCGCTCCAGCTCCGCCTGCCCCCACTTTCAAAGTCCCCCCGAGCTCTCAAACAAAGCTGGCTAACTTTAAGAGGCGTCAATGTAAATACGCGTTTTGTAAACACACTTTTACAGTAGCATCGTCAATGTATCTAGCCGCCTTCATTGCATCCATTCGTTGCATGTCATTACCGTTGTTTGGCTGCAGTTTCGGCCCCGCCGCTCCCACCCAGGGGGCTAAATCCCAGGGACTGATGCGCTTCCGAGTTTTATCGCGGGCCCTGGTAGGCCTGAGGCCAGGTCAGGCACCGCTCTGGACTTGGGCCCAAGGTGGCTCGGGCTCGCCTCTTGAACACCTTTCGGGGGGACCTCCCCCTCTAGGCTCGCTGGCGGCACTTGCTTCGGTGCCTTCTGTTGCTGTGTCGGGTATTCGTGCTTCTGCATGGCAGGTCGTTGGTGTTCAGTAGGGTTGTCGCTCCAGCTCCGCCTGCCCCCACTTTCAAGGTCCCCCCGAGCTCTCAAACAAAGCTGGCTAACTTTAAGAGGCGTCAATGTAAAGGGTCATGAGAGGCTCTTGAAAGGCTCTTGCGAGGCTCTTGAGCTGCGGGTCTTGAGAGGCTATGCGGAGGGCTCCTGAGATGTGAGAAGACTGAGAAGAACCTGAAAGGCTCCTGCAAGGTTTCTGAGAGGGTCCTGTGATGGCGTGCGAGGGTCCCGAAAAGGGTCCCGAGAGACTTCCGAGAAGCTTATGAGATCGGAACTGACTGCGGGATACGTCGGAAGACAGCCATGGGCGTGGGCACAGATTTAGGACTGATGTTGGCAAGGCCACCCACGAGGCATCCCGCCCGGTAGACATCATCATCTGACACCGAGCACAGCGACGGCCCCGCGCACGCAGACTCTGGGACTCCCCCTGGGACCCGGTATGGACACTTGCCTAGCAGTATGGTACCCTACGCGAGACGCCAGCAGGACACCAAGCAGCAAGCACACGGCGAGTAAGAGGCCCAAAAAACCTCCGAGAGGCCCCCTAAGGCGCCCGAGATGCTTCCCGAGATATCCTCAGATGCATCTAAGAAGCTCCTGACCCACAACCCAGGCAGAGTGGCGGGTTGGGCCGAAGGCTACCAGATCCATCGCGCCCCTGTGGCTTGCCACAGGGGTGCACGGCGTGCTGGATGCCTAGGATGTTTCGATTCTTTTCTAAAGAACTCACCCTGCAGCTTCGGCCCAACCCGCTGGCGTAAACTGCGCCCTCCACTGGCCCGAGAGCCTCCAAGACGGCCAAGATGGCCCAAGATGGTCTCCAAGATGCCCCTAAGACGGCCAAGCTGGTCCCAAGAGAGCCCAAGATAGCTCCAAGATGGCCTTCAAGACGGCCCCAAGATGCCTCAAAGACCGCCACGGTGGTCCAAGAGAGCCCAAGACGGCCCAAGAAGCGCCCAAGAGGCCCCTAAGACGGCCAACGAGGCCTCCAAGAGGCCCTTCAGGAAGGCCCGAAGAGGTCTACATCATTAATTGTCAGTGGATGTTTGAACGACATTGAAAGACATTGGCATTTGCTTCACAACAGCCTTCCAACGGCCCAAGACAGCCCAAGAGGCCCCCAAGATCGCCCAAGAGGCCTCCAAGATGGTCCCAGGACGGCCCAAGAGGCTCCCAAAACGGCCCCCAAAGGGCCCCAAGAAGGCCCAAGAGGCCTCCAAGACGCCCAAGATGGCCTTCAAGACGACCCAGAAGCGCCCCAAGAGGGCCCCAACACGGCCAAGAGAGGCTCCCAAAACGGTCTCCGACGGCGTCAGCCAGGAACACCGTAGGATGGCCAAAGAGGCCCCCCGAGACGCCCCAAGAAGCCCCAAGAGGCCCACGGAGGCCTGGAAGTGGCCTCCAAGGTCCCCAGGAAGCTCCCGGGAGGTCCCAAGAATGACTCAAGAAGCTCTCAAGAAGTCTCTTCGTTCTTCTGCTCATCCTCCGTTTCTCCTCCCTCTCCTCATCCTCCCGTTCCTCCCCCGCGTGTTTCCCGAAGGCCTTCCACAACGGCTGGGGCAACGCTTGAACCAATAGCGTGGCCAAACTTTGTCCGAACGTGTGGCCGCCTAGGCGTATCCTAAAAGGCAGGGGGCGGCGGTGATTCGCCGCAGGTGGCTTCGATGACGTGCACGATCGTCGCAAGCTCTCTCTCTCTCTCTGGGGGGCCGGCGGGCTGGCGCACGCCACTTGCATATCAAACAGCACGCAGACGGCACATTGCATGAGCAGCGCGAGGGAGACGATAGCCCACCCCGGAGCCCGCGCACGCCGAAGAGGGGCACGCGGGAGGAAGCGCGCCAGGGGCGGCGCCAGAGGCGTCGCGGGGGGTGTGGGGGGGAGGCGCTGCGCCGACCCGCGAGGTCCAGGAGAGACCTCGGAGCATCCACTGCTCGCTCCGATGCCTGGTCCTGGTGGTGCGCTCGACTCCGCGCGCCCGGGCTTCTCAGTCCTCGGCCTGGGTCACGCCACACACGCCCGTCTTCACGCCGACCAGAAGGTCCATGCTCTCAGCGTCCTGCGCGATGACGCAGCAGGGGCAGCACCACGTGCAGATGAGGCTCATCACAACGTTCCTCTCCTCGCCACCGAGCTTCCTGTTCATCGGCGTGCAAGAGTTCGCAATGAAGAGCGCGCAACATGGGCCCCAGAACGGGAAGCACGTCATGATGCCGCACGAGATCCAGTAGTTGAGGGTCTCTGTGGAGTGGAACGTGTGCGAGGCGCGAGCAACAGGGCAGCAAAATGACAGCATGCAGTTGGTGGAGCTCACTTTCGTGAGCGAACTGAGCTCGTTCTGGTCCTGCAGCAGCTTCGCCGGGTGCTGTTCGGGGATCGCCTCTGGGCCTTCCTTCACCACCGGGTACTTCGACACGACCGTGAAGTAGTACACGACGCCAAAAATTACCTGAACGATCCAGATGAAGCCAGTACCAGCCTCTGCCTCCTGCTCTGCCTCCTGCTCGGCCTGTTCTGAGGACGATGCAACAGGACCCTGCTTCGACACCAGTACCGCGTATTCTTCGCCTCGGAAGCAACACTCCCGAGCTGGGTGTATCAAAAAACCTCCTCAGTCTCCACCACCTCCTCATTGCTACCCGGGACTCATCATCATCAATACCATCATGTGACTATCATGCTTACCATCATCACCGTGATCAACATCACAACAATATTTGTTGTCATCATCGTCGCCGTCATCAGATCCATCATCCCACTTTCAAACAACTAATCACCAGAATGTACGTGCCAATCACAAGAAGACGGGCGAGGCCCTCAGGCGGAATACGAGCGACCTCTCCCGTGAAAGAGCGGAGTAGGCCCAAGACCCAAGGTTTGTGCGGAAAGACCTCGATCGAAGTGGCCGAAACGCGTTTGAACCGTAGAGCGGACACACTCAAATCGAAGTGCCAGAGGGCTTCCACGAACAACAAATAATTCACATGAGACGATGTCGAAACGAGGCGAGACACTTCCCAGTGCGCCCGTGAGGACGGCCGCGCGCGGGGCTGTGAGTGGGCGCCAGGGCGCCGCTCATTCAGTCTCTGGAAATAAACTTGCACGGTGCGCGTGAGCATCCTCTAATTATCACATCAAGCTGCTGGCCGACGCAGAGGTTCGCCAATCAGCTTCACACGAGGCAGTGTCGGTACAGCTATGACGAGACCTACACGTACGAAAGGTGCGGGCGCGACAAAAGCATAACGCATCACGTGTGCCTCCGAGTAGCCCGCCTCCCGCCGCCCACCCCGGTGGAGATCGGCAGGTGGAGCAGGAGGATGGGGAGATGACCACTGTCCCACTCCCTCCTCTTGAGCCCGACATGTCTGGCTCATGCTCTGGGGGGGAGGCTGTGCTCATGGGAGGCTGCAGCACCGCTCAAAAGTGTGCTGTTTTAGCGGAACCTGCAGGAGTGGCCCTTTCCCAAATCCGTGCTACGGTGCGGATCGCCTCGTGCCTGGATTCCGTCGTCGTCGTAGGCGTCGTCGTGGTCTTGGTGCGTGTTGCTCTGCTCGGGACTGGTTTCCCTTCTAAGCCCCAGAAGCCCCGCCCAGACCCCGGTGGAACACCCCGGAGGCCTCGACCCTACCCCTGGGGGGAGCCTCGATCTACCTGTCTGGCCCAAGCAGGCGCGCCGAGGCCCTCGCTAAGCTCCCCACAAACGTCCGCGTAGCCCGCGACGCTGCTGCCGTTCGCCGGGCGCGCCCGGCGCGCGCGGGCCAAGCGCGAGGAGAAGGAGAGGCAGTCCAGGTGCTCGTCCGAGCCGTTGGCCTCGGGGAGGTGCTGGAAGAGCTGGGAAGGCTCTGAGACTTTCAGGCTGTCTGTGTGGCACTCAGAAGCTGGTCTACCTCATGTCTCGGCGCTGGCTTCTGTTACTAGGTGGATCGTTCAACCAAGAGATGTCGGCGGCCTTTCTATCGCCAGATCGCTCCAATTCGGCTTATTCTGAGCCACTGACAGCGTTCAAACTTGAACGCCCGCGGCGGGGTCGCTGCCGCGCCGGCACGACACGAACCGTAGAGGGCCGATTTGGGGTTTGTGGAACCGTGGAGCTTTTGAAATCTCTGAGCGCTTTCTGAAATCAGATGTTGCCCAGTGGAGGTGCAAGGGAAGAGAGGGTGATACATGGGTCAGATAACTGTCGTTTGGGCGGGGGGGCGGATCTGGGAAATTGTCCACGTAGGATTGCCTGCAGGAGTTGCTGATAAAGGGAATGGTTGGCTGGCTAAATAGGCGGCCCGTGATTTGCCCCCGTAGGTCGCGCGGGGGTCACGGATAAGACGCATTCATGGCTACTAGATGATGTCCACGGCTCGTGGGAACTGCAAGATTGCCTGTTTGTGTCTGTGATTGCGTTCCGTTGTGTGCGAGCTTGCGTTGTTGCTTGTTTCCCACATGATGCATGCTTTCTCTGCTGGTGTCTGAAACTGCGTTTCCTTGCGTGCGTCTTGGCGTTGATGCTGGCTTGTGTGCGTGCTTCCTTGCGTGCGTGCGTAACTTCAGAATGGCGTTCACTAGTGCACAGCTGCTTGTGTGTCTAACTGCGTTCGCACCTGCTCGCGTTAGTACGGGCACTGAAGTGCACATTGCTGATGCCCTGCGACATGCGTAGATGCGAGATGGCGCTCTTGACCACTTGCTTGGATATCGTGTGCTCGCGTGCTCGCGCATCGCTTTGCTTGCGTGCAAGGTTGCCGCCTTGGTAACTGACTTGGTCGCCTGCTTGGTTGCCTGCTTGGTCGCGTGTGCGACTGCTTGATTGCGTGTGCGACTGATTGCGTGTGCGACTGTTTGTCTGCATGGGTGCATGTCTGCATGGGTGCATGTGCGCTCGCTTGATTGCACGCTTGCATACACGCACGTTAGCTTGTTAGCGTGAGTGCGGGCCTGCTGGCGGGCATGCGTGTTGTTTGCTTGCCTGCGTGCGTGCCCGCCTGCTTGCTCGCCGAACTGCACGCATGCCCGGGGGACCGGCAGGCAGTCCAGAGGATTGGCAGGACAGGGGAAGGGCGAGGCATGACGGCATGTGGCGGAGCAGGGCATTGCAGGGTGCAGGGTCGACCAGGGCAGAGCAGGGCTGGGCACGCCCAAGGCAGAGCGAAGCTAGGGCAAATGCAATGCAAAGAGCGTGGCGAAGGCAGGCCACGATGGTGCCGGCACGATTGCTTTTCGTAATCCCACCAGCCCTTTTGGGCGTAGGTGGTTTAGGGTGTTTCCTCTTCCGCCCCCTTCTTCCCCTTCCGGGAAGGGTTTATAACTGTTCCCTATTATACACCCCTTCCCCCAAGCGACTGGGAGTCAACCCGAGACCATGCGGCCCCCCCCCACACCATCCCTTGTAAAAAATCAATACACAAAAAAACTCTGCCTCAAAATTCGGAGCATGCGCGGCGAACCCAATGCGGCCTGCCCCCACCATCCCTGTCAGAAAACAAAAAGGAGTACACTTGGCGGCGGCGGCGGCTGCGGCGGGGGCAGAGGCTGCGGCGGCTGCGGCGGTGGCGGCGGCGGTGGCGGCGGCGGCGGCGGCGGCGGTGGCGACAGCGGCTGCGGCGGCAGCGGCTGCGGCAGCGGCGATTCGGCAGCGGGGGCGGCGGCTGCGGGCGGCGGCGGGCGGCGCGGTGGCGGCGGCGGCGGCGGCGGCGGCGGACAGCGGCGGCGGCGGCGGCGGCGCGGCAGCGGCGGCGGCGGGCGGCGGCGGCGGATTCGCCCCCAGTAGCTGCCCATCCAAAGACGAGTGCTGAATATGCTGCGGCTCGGGCCAGGCTTGGGTGCTACGTATGTGTTGGGAGGGCGGGTGGGAGTGAGCGAGACGGCTTGCGGGCGGGGAGGGAGTCTGGACCTCTCCCCCTACCCCTCCCCTGGACCTGGAAGGGGCGTTTCGCGGGTCGCCGGAACGTCCGAAACGGCCTCGGCGAGGAAACCGTAATCATTTGTTGTGCTAGGGTTTGGGCTCCATTTTGGCCTCTTGGGGGGGGCGGCGCTAATTGGGGACCCCCTTCTTTGACCGATCTCCTACGAGATGGCCCCACGAGCGCTCCCAGGGCTCCCAAGGGCGCCCCAAGAGGGGCTACAAGAGGCGACCAAGAGGCCCCCAGGATGCCCCCAAGAGGCCCCCAATAGACCCCCAGGAGGCCCCCATGAGGCCCCCCAGATGCACCCAAGACGCTCCAAGAGGCCTCGGCGACAATGCCCAAACCATTGATTTTACGAAGGTTCTGGCCACATGTCGGTCTCCTGGGGGGGGGGCATTGCTTAAGATGACTCCAAGAGCGCCTGGGAGAGAGCCCAAGATGACCTCCAAGATGGCTCAAAATGCCCCAAGATGCCTCAAGATGGCTCCCACGATGCTCCAAGAGGCCCCAAGACCGCTCCAAGACGGCTCCAAGTGGCCAAAGAGCTCCCCAAGGAGGCCCCGAAGAGGCCAACATCCTTCCAAAACCTTAGGACAATCAATGTGTTTGGCTTTGTCGCCTGTTCGCTTCCGATGGCCATGAAGATGGCTCCAAGATGGCCCAAGAGGGCTGCAAGAGCGCTCCCAAGGCTCCCGAGAGCGTCCCAAAGGGCCCCAAGAGGCGCCCAGACAGCCCCAAGAGGCCACAGCAGGCGCCCAAAAGGCCTCCAAGAGGCTCCCCAGAGACCCCCAAGAGGCCCCAAGAAGCTCTCTGAGGCACCCAAGACGCTCTAAGAAGCGTCCGGGACCGCCAAGAGGACCCCAAGACGTTCCTAGAGGCCTCCACTGTGGGACCCTTCCTCTGTGTGCTGCCCACTTCCCTGTTCGAGGCAATTCCTTTGGGCATCGTTTCTGGATGGGCTGGTGGGGTTACTTTTCTGTCGCAGCCGCAAGCGAAAGCGCAGGCGGCGTCAAACGGGACGGGCGGGCCACGCGCGAACCTAATTGCCTAACGCGCCAGCAAGCAGAGGCCTAAGCGGCACCTCAGCGGACCGGAAGCGGGAGGTGGTGCGGGCTGCAGCTGCCAGGCAACGGGGTCCAGGAGCGAACGCATCAAATAGCCAACCGAGGTTGGGACGCAGCAAAAATGGCGCGGGAGCGATAAGAAAACTCTGGTGGGGGTACTTTTCAGTCAACGGCCGCGGGTGGAAGCGCCGGCGGCGTGTCAAGTCGAAGCGGGCACGCGCCACAGACTAATTAACAGCAGAAAACTGGGGCACAGTACTGCCAGAGTGCGCATGCGAGAGGCCTAGGCGGAAACGGCAACAGACGCGGGAAAACCAACAGTGCGATGGGCGAGGCGACAACTAAACGCGGCCGAGGCCTCAGGGGGGGGCTGCCGGGGCTGAGCTGAGGGGAACTGCCGTGTGCACAGCAGCTAGTCAGTCGGGCGTCGCGCGTCGAAGAGTCAACGACGGCTCTGGTGGGGTTACTTTTTTGGTCGGCGGCTCCGAAGCAACGGACAGGGAGCGGAAGCGGCGTCTGGGTCACGGTACGGGGCTAGTTGCAAGACAATAACTGGTGGGGTTACACGAAGCGTCTAGAATTGACGTCTTCATTTTCCTCCTCCTCCTCCTCCTCCTCCTCCTCCTCCTCCTCCTCCTCCTCCTCCCCCTCCTCCTTCCTCCTTCCCCCTTCTTCCTCCTTCCCCCCTCCGCCCGTAGATGCCCGGGCGTAGGGACCTCTTATTCCATCGCTTGCTTCAGTACGTGCTTAGAGTGTCCGCCGATCGATGTTTTCGCAAGTGTAGGCGGTTCAGGGGGACCCGATGGTCCAAGGCCTGAGTCCGGGGAGGCCTGGTGTGGGACATCGAGGAGGAGGGGGTAGGAGGAGGGGGAGGTGGTGGAGGGTGCAGGAAGAGAACGGAGAGCGAGCAGACGAGGACGAGGATGGGAAGGGGAGGGCACATTTTAGGAGGGGTGGAGGAAGAGGAGGAGGAAGAGCATCGGGACCAGAGGGGGAAGGGGGAGGACGTGGAGGCCTTCGTGAACAGTACCCTCTCGGAGCACGCGCTGTTCAGCGCGGCCTCCAGCTGGACGTCGGACCACGACTCGTTCAGGCCGCCAATGCTCCTCGCCAGGAAGCCCGCGCACGCAGGCCGTGCCGCCGCCGTGGCGTTGCCCCCCCCGCCGGCGCCGCCCGCCTGGAAGAAGTCCACGACGGCGGCGGCGGCCTCGGCCGGGCTCGGCGGAGCCGAGCCGGGCGCGCCGCGCAGGCCGTCGAGGAGCCCGTGGGCGCCCGCGAACAGCCGGGCGGCCGCCCGCACCCGGGCCGCGCGGGCCCCGCTCGCGGACGCCGCCAGCAGCGCCACGAGGAGGCGGCCGGGAGTGCTGCTGCCATCACGGCGGCGCAGCCTGCCGCGGGACATTCGGCTCGGCCGCACGCAGGAGTGGGAGCTCGGGCGGGGAGTGGCCTCCGGTGCGCGGCTGCAGGCGGCCGCGGGGGCGGGGGGCAGGGCCAGGCGCGCCCGCCAGCGCCAGGGGGGCCCCCTTGTGCAAGGGGGGGCACGGCGACCCCAGTCCCCGACTTCGGGGGGGCTTCCGACTGGATCAAAGGTTGGGGTACCGACCCTGGGAGATGTATATATATATATATACATATATATATATATATGCACACATACATATGTGTATATATATATATATACCATGGGGGGGCGCCCATCCCCTTGACAAGGGTGCGTACAAATAGCCCCCCGGGGGTGTATCCCTGAGTTCCCCCCCCCCTCTTCTGAGCGGCCAGACCTTTCGGGCGGAACTCTCAAGGATTCGGGGAGAAAAATCGCCTGCGACGGTGGGCCCGCACCAAGAGGTCACTCTGGCGAAGGGCCACCTCTGCGCGAAGCCGATCGGTTGGCTTCGGTGGGCTTCACTTGACGGGCGCGGGCGGCGGGCGGCCCAGGGAGCTCGAGCCACGACGGCCACGGGGGCCAGGTGCTGGGGGAGCTGACGGACTGGTCCCGCGAGGAGGGGCAGGAGGGAGGAGGGATCCTGACCAGTCTGCCAGGTCTACGAGCGGGCCGCCATCTGGCAGTCCGTCGGGGTCAACGCAGGCGCCGCCAAAGGGGGGACACCCGTCGCCTGGGGGCAACCCCAGCTCGTAGCCTGTTGGATGGGGGGGGAGAGAGAGAAGGGAAGGGAGGAAGGGGCAGAGATGGGGAGAGAAGGTAGAGAGGGGAGAGAGCGGGGGGAGAATGCGGAGGGGGGAGATGGGGGAAAGATGACGAAATAGAGAAACAGGGAGAGAGAGAGAGAGAGAGGGAGAAGAGGAGAGAGAGAGAGAGAGAAAAAAAAAAAAATCCTGGCGAAGGTCCCAACCATATGCAGTTGTGGGTACCGAAATTGTGAATATCTGCTTCGGTGAAGCTCCCCATGGGGCCACGAAACGCTGCACTGGGCGGGGGGGAACGCTGTGCTGTGTGGGTGGTGTGCCGAGTTGGGTTTCCGGGACGCATGCGGACGGTCCCACTGAGGGCTTCGGTGGAGCTCCCTATGGGACCACGAAGCGCTCTACTGAGTGAGTGACAATGCCAAATTGGGTTACCGGGACGCATGCGGACGGTCCCACTGCAATGGTGCGCCTTTCTCCCAATACAGGATCTTCACCATGGTCCTGAACCAAGACGGCCAGCCGCGGCGGCAGAGAGTGTGGAGGATGAATTCGTGATGCACGCTCGGGCAAGCCGCCTCGACGTCGAAAAGAAGGCGGCTGGATCGGGCTCGGTCAATGCCGCCTGGAGCATGTTCTCTTCGACGTCCACTAAAGTGGCCAGAGTAGAGCGGCCTCTCAGACATCCCCGCTGTACAGAGAAGATGCCTGGAGCGCCAGTGGGCTCGATGTGCAGGCGAATGGCGCTGCAGATGATGCGGTTGTCCGTGTTGGCAGTGTTGAGGGGCCCGATGCTGGTGGCCTGGCACATCTCCGTGCCATCGTCCATGGTGCCAGAGGATTTCCTGAGTAAGGCAAACATGACGCTCTGGTCGAAGATGCCCCGTTCGTCCTTGATGAGCTGCAGCCCAACCTCGCTGGCCTGGATGCAGTGCGCACGACGTAACTGGCAGGGCACGGGGTCTGCCTGGGCAGGCACCTGCGACTCGCGAGCCGGCAGGGCCCTTGAGCCAAAATGGCTTGAGTGAAAATGGCTACAGAGACGACGGTGGTGATGGTGACGACGACGACGACGACGACGACGACGACGACGACGACGACGACGACGACGACTATGATGATGATGATGATAGTGATTAGTAGCGTTATGATTATGATTGTGGTGATGCTTGCGAGTATGATTGTGGGTCTGGCTACGATGATGGTGCTGATGGTGGTGTTGATGAGTATGATGACGATGGTGATGTGTAAGAGAATGATGCTGATGCTGATACTGATGCTGATGCTGATGCTGATGCTAATGCTGATGCTGATGCTGATGCTGATGCTGATGCTGATGCTGATGCTGATGATGCGGGTGATGATGACGATGATGCTGATGATGATGATGATGATGAGGCTGATGGTGATGATGATGATGATGATGCTGATGATGATGATGATGATGATGATGATGATGATGATGATGATGATGATGATGATGATGATGATGATGATGATGATGGTGGTGGTGGTGGTGGCGGTGCTGCTGCCGTGGACGATGAGGGAATATGCGCGCACAGAAATTCAGAGCCATGTGTTGTTTGCAGTCGAATAGACCAGGGACAGTAGCATGTTCTTTGTTTGAAGCATCTCTGTGTTGAAGTGTCTACATGTCCAATGAAATTCAAAGGAATTCGACGTACGCGCGCGGAAGCGCGCGTGCAAGACCCACATGGTTGTATTGGACAGGGTTGGCGGGTGCGTGGTGACGGGCGTGATGTTATTTGAAATGACGGATGAACGTTCGTGCAACATAAATCTGCAGATGCAATGCGAGGAGTGGTCCGGTAGGCCCAGGCTCGGCATGAGGGTGGACCTGATTCCTTCTAGGAAGAGGAATCTCACGCAGTGCAATGCAAGTGTGCAGGAAAGCGCGCTACCAACAGACAGCGGGGAGGCAGCCGCAGGAAGCCGTGGGAAGCCACAAGGAATCAGGCGGCCACGAGAACACGTGCGGTACACGGGGCCCAGTGGCGAGAGGAAGCCATGGACGGCCACGGAAGCCAAGCGACCACCAGAGACAGGGTGCGATGCGCAAGGCCAGCTGGCGATGGGGCCATTGGAAGCCACAGCAAGCCCATGGGCGGGGAAGCAAGGAAGCCACACATGGGAGACCAATGGTGAGCCGAGCGGCCGCAGGAGAGGTGCGGCGGACAGGGCCGGGTCTTCAGGGTCCGAGTAGGGGCCCATCGGTGCAAGCGCCCCGTGTTTGGGGGGACCAATACTGAAATATTTTACATATTAAATATGTGTCTATTGTTTGTGTTTGATTGTTACAATAATGTGGTTGGGAATTGATCAAGAAAGGAAGAAAGAGAAAAGAATTGGCGCCCACACTTGATCCTCACCCCCTAGTCCTCTGCCCTCTGCTCTCCGCCCGTCACTCTCAGCCCTGCCTCCTATCCGATCCCCCTCTACCACTGTGTCGAGCCTCACCGCTGCGCTGATGCACTGCGGCCATCTCTGCACCCGTGGCAGAGTCAGCCTTTTTGAGCAATGAGCTGTACTGGCTGCAGTTCGCCGTCGTGCTTGCACGTCTGCGTATGTCGACCCTCGCCTTCGCCGCCCCTGGCCGTCGCGGTCGGCGTCGCCGTCGTCGTCAGGGGCGCGCCAGTGCTCAAACTTATGAGCACGCCACCCCTCCTCGCGAGCCATCGCTGTGATCTGCTTCAGGTGCTGGACTTCTTCCACGTGCCTTCTCCTCGGCGGGTCTTCACACGGGTAGAGTGGAGGCGGGTAGCTCTGCCCCAACGCTGGACGACAAAACAAATTTACGCGGAGCACATGCCTCCGAATTGCCCGCCAAGGCCAGGTGATGGTGCAAGCAAGAGTGAGAAGGGAAGCGGAGGAACAAGGTAATGTGCGACGCAAGGAAGGGGCATAGGAGGAAGGGGTAAGATGTGCAGAAGCGCATGTCTCATCAGATCAGGCCCTCTGGGTCTTCTACTCAGTCTCTTCACCAGGAGTTAAGCCTCCAGTCAATGTCAAGCGACCAGGAAAAAGCAAAACCGTACCAAGCCCGAGAAGCACATGGGCGATAGACGTGACGGACAAGCACCGAATCCGGACGCTCTACGTGTCATTCTAACACGTGTCAACCAGAAGCGCAAAAAAACGACAACACGAAATCAACACTAGCGACTACTTGTCCAAAATGTTCATCGCTTCCACACGCAACCTAGATATATCATGTGAGTTTCCCCTGAATGGGGTCGTGATTCCATGCGTAGGGGGCCGGCATGCTACCTTACCCAGATCTCCCGCCCGACGATGGCTTGCCCATGCTAAACACGAAATACCTTGCCGCTTCCAGCTCAGGCGGCACATGGCTGTCGCAATCACCCTGCATATGCTTATTCCCACCAGCCCCGAAAAACTGATACAGTAGGCATGGGGTGTTGGGACCCGCTTCGGGTCGCTGTGAGGTGGCAGCGAGACCATGAGGTCATCTTGGAGCCATCTAATGGTTATGCGTGTCGTTCTAGGGTCAAGGGGTCATCGCAGGGTTGTCATGAAGTCGCCTTGGAACAATATTGGGCCTTCAAGGTCATCCTGGGGCGTAGCATGAGAATCATCTTGGGGTCACCTTGACGTATGGACACCATAGCGATGTACTTTTGAAGTAATGTCAGGAGCGTCTTGGGGTCATTGGGTCGCATCAGGGTCATCTTGAGGTTGTCGTGGGGCCATGGAGTCATGTTGGAACCATCTGAGCAGTCGCCGAAGATCGAGGTTCATACATCAAGGATCGACTCTCGCGAATCGAGGACCGAGAGTCGAGCATCGAGTATCTTGGAGGCCTGCTGGTGTCCTTGCGGGAGCTGCTGGGGTATTCTTCGGCTGCCTCGGTGTGTATTGAGCCGTTGGGGGCGCTCTCCTGGGTCGTCCTGGCGCCCTCTTGGGCCGTTTGTGCGCCTCTGCGGGACCCCTTTCGGGCCCCCCCAGGGACGCGGCCCTCGAGAAGCACCGCAAAGACGGCGGCATCAATCTTTTGTAGAAGCGAATTGAAAGCACCATTCCAATGGAAAAGCAGCAAACAACAATAAAAAACGAGCTGGCCCTAGCGGGGGGGGCGGGCGGGCTGGGCGGGCGGGACATTGAAACCAGTGGCTTTTGGCTTTCAAACAAGGACGGGCCCTAACGGGCGGGTCGGGCGGCGGATTCTGACGGCCCGGTCGGACGGGCCTGGTGGGCGAGACACTGAAACAGCAGGTCAAAGGATGTCCAAACCATGAACCCGACGGACCCTACGGGGCGGGTCGGGCGGGCGGACCCCGACGGGTGGGGCCGAGGGATGGGCTCTGACGGGCTGGTGGGGCGGGCTGGTCCTATCGAGCGGGTCGGACGGGCGGGACTTCATCCCGAAATTGCGATACCTTGGGACATTGCGACGAAGTCCCAGGCGAGAGCGCGACCTATAGGTCAAGTGTGAAGAAGCCCTGCACGACAGCACGACTCTGGAGCGAAGTGTGAAACAGTTTCGGGCTGGATTGTTGTTGTTGTTGTTGTTGTTGCGGCGATGTTGTTGCTGCTGTTGTTGGTGTTGTTGTTGTTGATGATGTTGTTGTTGGTGGTGGTGTGGTTGCTGTTGTTGATGTTGAGTTTGTTGTCGGTGGTGGTGTTGTTGGTGGTGGTGGTGCTGCGGCTGTGGTTGTTGGCGGTGGAGCTGTAGTTATTTGTGTTGAAGTCGCACCTCCGAAGAGCAATTATTGTTACTCCCCCTCCGGCGCACACACTGCCCCCCCCCAGGGGCTCCCACCTTGGTGCTTATTAGGAAAATATTGAGCTCAAATTGGGCCCTTGGGCCCGAAGTACAAAGACAACGGTTCCCGCCTGATACTTCCTACGAAATCGCGCTTTCGCGTGGGACTTCCTCGAAATGTGTGCGAGAATCGCACTCTCGCGCGAAACATCCTCGCAATGTATTCAGACGCTGCGCCCTCGACACTCCAAAATCACGCTCTCGCTTTGGCCTCTCTCACGACTTCCTCGGGAGTCGCGCCACCGCTCGAATTCTCCCCGCGATTCATGCCAGACTCACGCTTCAACAGCCCGCCTGTTCGACATGGTCTCCTGGACCCGCCTTCCCGACCCTCCTAAAGTCTACCCGCCTGATCCGCCCGTCTGGTTTTGCCACGCGTTTTCTGATCCAAACCCCGCCATCCTGCTAATCTCTCTTGTGATCCATCCTCCTCTTTCCCCCCCTTCCATTCGTCCTCTCTTCCCCTGTTTTAGCGGCTGCGCAAAACAAACGCGAAGGGCGAAGGGCAAGGATGTTATATCCCCAAGGGGGTACGATCGAGGACGAAAAGAACGGGTACCGAGGGTTTGGGATATATGCATTGGATGGCACGCGAGCACATAGGAGCGAACAGCGTTGAAATGATGGTTGTTGGTGGTGGTGGTGGTGGTGGCGGTGTTGGTGTTGTTGTCGTCGTCGTCGTTGAATTGGCACTCTTGACCGATAACTAATGTTGATCCCCCCTACCAGGCGCACATAGGACGTTTCCAACTGAAATGTCCCTCCCTGGGTCCGCACCCTGTTTTCCATGAAAATCCTGAAATTCAAACAATGCCACTGGCCCCCGAACTCAAACAACAACATCAACAACAACAGTAATCATTTTAAGTCAATTCGCTCTTATCTGCTCGCGTGTCATTCAATACGCATATCCCAAAGCCTGGATGCCCGCCCTTTTCGTCCTCGATCGCACCCCGTTTTGGGGGGGTATATTCATTCCCTGCCACGCGTGGTTGGCGAAGCCCTTAAAAACGAAAAGTAACAGATAACGAGGGGGAATGAGGACGAAGGGGTCGGAGGAAGGGAGGGGAGGGGCAAGTAGGAGGGGGGGCGACGATTTGCGCTGCGAGTGGCGGTTCACTTTGCGCCAGGGCTTGCGCTGGCCACTCCAACACTGGTTAACAAATAGTTTCGCCATGGGTCGCGCCATAAACAGCGCCGCGCACCACGCCCTCGGAGAGAAAAGAAAAAATGAGACACCGGGGCGGAAGGATAGCGAGAACTGCAATCGCGTCGAGAGGAGCGCGGGGATGCGGAGTGGATTGGAAGGGGTGGACAAGAGTAGGGCCTCAGGAAGAGGAGCGGCAAGGGGCGGAGAAGAGGGGCGGGGAGGAGTGCGGAGGAGCGGGGGGCGCACGGAGGAATCTGGCGGAGGGGCTGGGAATAACTTGGGGGAAATGCGGAATGCGAGCGGGAAGGGGTGGAGATTGCTGGGGCGGGATGGGGCGGCCCGGGGGGGGCGGGCGGAATGCGAAGAACTGAGGTATAGCGCAATGGAGCACGGACGAAATGGAAATGAAGATAAAGGGAAAGAGTAGAAAAGACTGGGAAAGAACTTTGAAAAGTGGGGGCAAGTGGATGCGAGCGGAGACTGGTGCGGAAGCAAGGCGTGGGGGGATTGGAAAGCACCCGAAAGCCTCCCATGACCTCTGGGGGGCCTCGGAATGGCCCCGATGACCACCGAGCAGTTCCAGAGGCTCCGAAAACCTGCGCGAACGCCCTGGGGAAGGACTTCATTCAAAGCCTGCAGAAGAACCAGGGCCAATGGAACACGCGCGTCCCCAAGGCCGGCAAACCAGGCCCCGGCAAGCGGCGGGCCGTCGGCCTGGCCAGTGGCAACGCTGGCGACGCACACACCGACCCGCGGCAAGCCGACCCCAAGATGGACAGACAGCGGGCTCACCACCACGACGACGACGACCACGACGAGAGGAGGGAGGAGGAGGAGGAAGAGGAGAAAGAGGAGGAGAAGGAGGAGGAGGGAAGGATGGAGGGAAGGGAGGAAGGGAAGGAGGAGAGGGAGGGGGGCGGGGGCTGAAGGGCCGACAGGCTGGCCCTCGGCAGGCGCGAGGCAGTCGCACGGATTATCGGCCTGGCTGGCTGAAGGGTCGGGGTGCTGGGCTCCATGCGGCAAGCGGGCCCCAAGGGGGGGGGCCAGGGACGACGACGACGACGACGACAATGACGATAAGGGGAAGGAGGGTGGGAGGAGGGGAGGGGGAGGAGGGGGCAGGGAGGGACGGAGGGACGGGAGGGACAGCTGCGAAAGGAGAGAGAGAGAGAGAGAAGAGAGAGAGAGAGAGAGAGAGAGAAGAGAGAGAGAGAGAAGAGAGAGAGAGAGAGAGAGAGAAAAGAGAGAGAGAGAGAAGAGGAAAAAGAAAGAGAGAGAGAGAGAGAAGAGAGAGAGCGAGAGAACAAAAAAGAGAGAGAGAGAGAGAAAGAGAGAGAGGGGGGGGGGGAAAAATACGATACGCAACCGCGAGTACGAGGGCAACCTGCGGGTTCTGAGTGGGTGCCCTCGTTACTGATCCCTACTCACCTGGGCCCCCTCGCCCACCCGGACGGCAACCACGTACCCGTGCCGGCGCTGCCCCGTGGTGGTCGACAGCCAGCTGCAAGGCTGGCCCAGGATGCGCGCCGAGAGTTCGGCAGCCATCTGGGTTCGCGCGAACAAACAAAGAGAACAACTCGATGTGAGAGGATCCGGCTACAAAGGTAGCAGCATCCCCATTCACCGCCGGACCCGCTTGTCCGCTACGCAACCTTCTTCGCGATAGTACTGGATCTTTGAAACGCGCCGAGGAGGTCGTTCTGGCCAGTGAGCGCAGGAGCGAGCGAGCGCCGCAGAAGGCAAAATAAGGCCACGACGGCCAGCGAGGAAGCCACTGAGAGCAGGAGCG